GATCATAGTTCACTGCAGCCTTGACATGCCGGGCTCAAGTGATGCTTGAACCTCAGCCTCCTAAGTAGCTGGGACTGCAGGCACACACCACCATGCTCAGCCAATACATTTTTTCATCTTTTGTAGAGACAGCGTCTCACTATGGTGACCAGGAAACATAGAAAGAATCTTTCTTTCTCTCTCTCTCTCTCTCTCTCCTTCCTTCCCTCCTTCCTTCCTTCCTTCCTTCCTTCCTTCCTTCCTTCCTTCCTTCCCTCCCTCCCTCCCTCCGTCCTTCCTTCCTTCCCTCCCTCCCTCCCTCCTTCCTTCCTTCCTTCCACTCTCTCTTTCCTCCCCTCCCCTCCCCTTCCCTTCCCTTTGAGCCAGGGTGTTACTATGTTGCCTGGGCTGGTCTTGAACTCCTGGCCTCAAGTGATCCTCCCACTTTGCCTTCCCCAAAGTGCTGGGATTACAGGCGTGAGTCATCGTGCCTGGCCAGCAAAGGATGTTCACGTACCCTTCAAGCCTGGCAGCTTCAGAGACACCGGAGCCCAGGGTCTGGGTCAGAAACACTGAAACACGGTTGCAAACAGAAAGATGCATGGACATCCCGGTCAGGAGGGCCAGGCACACACAAGTCACCCAGTCAGTGCTCACACAGGCCATCCAGAAGTGCATGTGCACGAGTGTTTGTGTGCACACACACAGCCATTCACGGATCCCAGCGACGACATCCAGGAAGTTGTTAAGGCAGTTGGCCCCACAGATGCAACTACATTACAGAGTGATGGTGATTAAATGTTCACTATCAGCAATTCACCTGACGACCCAGAGAACTCCCACAGATTAAACAAACAAGCAAACAAACAAACAAAAAACCACAAAAAAACAAACAAAAAACACCTCCGTGCTGTGGTTTGAATATTTTTTCCTTCAAAACCTCATGTTGAAATTTGATCCCCTCACTGGAGCCCAGGTTGACGTTGCAGTGAGCTAGGATCTCCCGCTGCACCCCAGCCTAACTGATAGAGTGAGACTCTGTATCAAAAAAAAAAATGAAGAAATTTGGACCAGGTGCAGTGGCTCACACCCGTAATCCCAGCACTTTGGGAGGCTGAGGCGGGCGGATCATTTGAGGTCGGGAGTTCGAGACCAGCCTGGCCAACATGGTGAAACCTCATCTCCACTAAAAATACAAAAATTAATTGGGCATGGTGGTGCGTGCTTGTAATTCCAGCTACTCGGGAGACTGAGGCTGGATAATTGCTTGAACCTTGGAAGCAAAGGCTGCAGTGAGCCGAGATTAGGCCTCTGCACTCCAGCCTGGGCGACAGAGCGAGACTCCGTCTCAAAAAAATAAAACAAAAAACTTTTATTCCCAAGATTGGAGGTGGGCCTAATGTGAGATGTGTTTGGGTCACGGGGGCAGATCCCTCATGAACAGATTAATGCCCTCCCTGGCAGGTGAATGAGTTCTCCCCGTTAACGTCCATGACAGATGTATGTTAAAAGGAGCCTGGCACTTTTCTCTCTCTCTCTCTCTCTCTCTCTCTCTCTCTCTCTCTCTCTCTCGCTTCCCCTCCTGCCACGTGATCCCTGCACACGTGTGGTTCCCTTGGCCTTCTGCCATGAGTAGAAGCAGCCTGAAGCCTTCACCACAAGAAGCAGATGCTGACACCATGGTTCTTTGATTTATTTATTTTTTGAGACAGGGTCTCACTCTGTTGCCCAGGTTGGAGTCAGTGGTGCGATCATAGCTCACTGCAGCCTCGAACTCACAGACTCAAGCAATCCTTCCACCTCAGTCTTCCGAGTAGGTGGGACTACAGGTGCCTGCCACCTTGCCTGACTTTTTTTTTTTTTTGTACAGACAGGGTCTCACTATATTGCCCAGGCTAGTCTCAAACTCCTGGTCTCAAGGGATCCTCCTGCCTCAGTCTCCCAAAGTGCTGGGATTACAGGTGTGAACCTCCATGCTTGGCCTCGATTTTGGACTTCTTATGCCCAGAACTGTAAGAGAATAAATTAGCATTGTTTGACTGTCACGGTGGCTCACACCTTTTGTAATCCCAGCACTTTGGGAGGCTGAGGTGGGTGGATCACCTGAGGTCAGGAGTTCCAGATCAGCCTGGCCAAACTGTCGAAAACCTGTGTCTACTAAAAATACGAAAAACTAACCGGGTGTGGTGGTGCAGGCCTGTAGTCCCATCTACTTGGTAGGCTGAGGTAGGAGAATGGCTTGAACCAGGGAAGTGGAGTTTGTCGTGAGCTGAGATTGTGCCACTGCACTCCAGCCTGGGCGACAGAGTGAGACTCTGTCTCAAAAAAAAAAAAAAAAAAAAAAAGAAAGAAAGAAAAAAAAATTAGCATCATTTCAAGTCACTGAATTTGTGATTTGTTATAGTGGCAACAGGAAACCATTACAAACCCCAACTGACACACAGACATACCCCAGAGTACAGATGTGTGGCTGGGCATGGTGACTCACGCCTGTAATCCCAGCACCTTGGGAAGCGAAGGCAGGCGGATCGCCTGAGGTCAGGAGTTTGAGACCAGCCTGGCCAATGTGGCAAAACCCCGTCTCTACTAAAAATACAAAAATTAGCCAGGTGTACTGGTGCGTGCCTGTAATCCCAGTTACTCGGGGGGCTGGGGCAGGAGAATCTCTTGAACCCAGGAGGTGGAGGTTGCAGTGAGCCGAGATCGTGCCATTGCACTCTAGCCTGGGCAACAGAGTGAGACTACGTCTCAAAACAAAAAAACAACAAAAAAACCACAGATGTGGTCCATTAGAGAGGCCCCGTGGAACCACTGAGTAAAAGTGCCTCACGCCATGTGAGGCAGTCACACCGCAACAATCACAGCATCATCCCAGATTCAATGTTAGGAACACTCCCAAACGCCACACACGCGGCCAGCCAAAGACGACTGGGGCTGAAGTCAGCTGTGGGTTATCACCGGGACCCCCACACTACAGAAACACATATGCCCGGGCTCACTACGAAATCCAACAGGGTGCCCTGGAAAGATATCACACACTGGCCAGGTGCGGTGGTTCATGCCTGTAATCCCAGCACTTTGGGAGGCTGACATGGGAGGATCATGAGGTCAGGAGTTCGAGACCAGCCTGACCAACATGGTGAAACCCCATCTCTACTAAAAATACAAAAATTAGCCGGGCGTGGTGGTGCACGCCTGTAATCCTAGCTACTCGGGAGGCTGAGGCAGGAGAATCGCTTGAACTTGGGAGGCGGAGGTTGCAGTGAGCCAAGATTGTGCCACTGCGCTCCAGCTTGGGTGACAGAGCAAGACTCTGTCTTGGGGAAGAAAAAAAAAGATATCACACACCATGTTCTCCTTAGAAACAATGGCACAGTGACAATGATGGCAACATTCACAATCAAACACACCAGAAGTCCCAGAGTGATACACAGGAGATTGTCTGTCTGAGACTCACAACATCACTCTGGGAGTCAACTGGATTCAGTGCACGGGTGTGCACACACACGAAGGCACTTCCACCAGGTCCATCTCATGAAAGAGGCCCATGCACCCAAGGGATATGGTACAAAAATAGTTTATTACAAAAGAAATCCAACCAAAATGCTTAATAATTTACATCGTGATCCAGGTCCGTCACAGCCCCTCTCCCCTCCTCAGTTGTCTGGTAGAGTGTGGAGGGGAGTGGCTGTTCCCTGGGTCCACCAGCTCTGGGAGGGGACACGGAAATGGAGGATGTGGGTAGCATTCCGGACAGGGACTGGTGCCTGAGAATACTGGGGTCAGAGCTCTGGGCAGGGAGCGAGATGGGGGAACTGTGCTCAGAAGAGGGGCTGTATGGGTAGGTGCATGTGCTTCTGTGCAAATCCTGGTCCCGAAGATGGGGGGGGGCAGAGTGAGATCTTCACAGTTTCCAGAAGGGTTGACCCCACAGGGCAGGGGGCCCCTCCTCATGAGTCCAAGATCTGCCCCCCCATCCCCCTCAGCTGCCTCCTGGAGCTGGGGAGGAGGGCACCGGCCGGCCAGGGCCTCGGAGGACCCCGGCAAAGGGCAGGAAGGCAGGTGGAGATGGGGAAGGAAGGAAGAAATTGGGAGGAGCCATGGGGAATCCAGGGGGGTCCTTGGGGGGAGACTGGGAGGGTGAGGAGGACGGTGATGCAGAGAGAAGACCTGAGGAAGGAAGATAGACAGAGGGGGAGGGTGGTGAGAGGCTAGACCCAGAGAGCAGGGGCTGGGGCCTGAGATCTGGGTCTAAGGGAGGAGGGACTGGGGGTCTGAAGGAGGAGGGGCTGGGGGTCTGGACTCTTGGATCTGAGGAAGGAGGTGCAGGAAGTCTGAGGGAGAAGGGGCTAGGGGTCTAAAGTCCTGGGTCTGAGGAATGAGGCATTGGGGACCTAGACTCCTGGGTCTGAAGGAAGAGGGGCTGGGGGTCTGAAGGAGGAGGAGCTGGGGTCTGAAGGAGAAGAGGCCAGGGGTGTGGACTCCTGGGTCTGAGGGAGGAGGGGCTGGGGGTCTGAGGGAGGAGGGGCTGGGAATCTGGATTCCTGGGTCTGAGGGAGGAGGGGCTGAGGTTTGAGAGAAGAGGGACAGGGGGTGTGAGGGAGGAGGGGCTGAAGTCTGAGGGAGGAGGGGCTGGGGGGGTCTGGTGGAGGAGGGGTTGCGGTCTGAAGGAGGAGGGGCCAGGGGTCTGGACTCCTGGGTCTGAGGGAGGAGGCTAGGGGCCTGGAATCCTGGGGCTGAGGAAGGAGGGGGTGTGGTTTGGGATTCCTGTGTCTGAGAGAGGAGGCTAGGGGCCTGGACTCCTGGATCTGAGGGAGGAGGGGCCGTGGGTTGGGATTCCTGGGTCTGAGGGAGGAGGTGCCAGGGCTGGAGGTTGGGAGCAGTTTCTCACCATTGGAGCTGAGGCGGCTGCTGCTCTCGGGGGAGGTGTTGGCGCTCCGGTCAGGGGAGGGGTCTGGCTGGGAGGTGGAAGCAGGCCGGGCGGCCTTCCCCCTCAGGATGTCGATGACCTTCAGGAAGATGGGCGTCACCATGGAGCCACCCCTGCCTCACAGCCCTCTCTCCTTCTATCCCTCCTAGCTCACGGGATCCAGATGGTGGCCTCTCCATCTCTCAGTAGGAAAAGATGGGCAAGGCACTTCTTTTCTTGGTGCCAGTCTCTCCTCATTTCTGGAACTCACACCCTCGCTCTCAGAGACTCACCCACTCCCCACCACGCGGCGGCACAGACACCCTCACACCGCTGCGCTCTGGCACACTCTCCTGCCACCAGGCCGCGGACACACGTGTGCAAGGGGCATACCCACAGCCGCCCCGGCTCACCCTGCGGCTGCGCGCCACCATCAGCGGCGTGTCGTTGTGGCAGTTCTTGAGGCTGCTGTCAGCGCCGCTGCGGACCAGTGTGCGCACCAGCGGGAGGAGCCCGCGGCCGGACGCTGAGTGCAGCGCGGAGCTGCCGGAATACATTTGTGCGTTCACGTTGGCGCCGTGCTGCGGGGCGGGAGGGCCGGGTCAGGAGGGCGCGCGGGTCACCCGGGGCAAGGGAACAGAGGCTGGAGGCCCGGGTAGGTGGCCGGCACGTTGGGCGGCACCGGATGGGGTGGGGTCACAGGAAGGTAGGAGCGACAGCCAAGGGCGGGCCAAGCGGGACTGTGCTGGCGGCGCTGAATGAACCGGAGCTGGACACCGAGGCCCGCGCCCCAAGGAGTCGGGGGGGGGCTGGAGGGTGGAAGGACAATGTGTGGACAGGGCCTAGCTGGAAGGTGGGGTCAGCCAGGCCAATGCAGGGCGGGGCCTAGGCCGTTGAGGGGGCAGGGGAGGAATGGGACATGTTCGTAGCCAGGGGCGTGGAGTCCGAGGGTTGAGAGAACTAGGCCTTAAAGGAAGGGTGAGAGCTGGACGCGGAGCAGGAGCAAGAGCCAGAACTGGAAGGCGGGGTCAGAGGTAGAGGCTGGGGCCAGAGCGGGTTGGGGTCAGAGGACAGGGTGGGCGCGAGGCTCAGGGGGCGCTGTACGCACCTGCAGCAGCAGCTGCACCATGCTAAGGCTGTTGTTTTCCACGGCGTGGATGAGCGGGGAGCGGCCGCTCTTAATGTCCTGCAGCGGGGAGGGAAGGTCTTTGAGTTTTTCCAAGCTCTGCTCCAGCAGCTGGCGACCCGCATCCCGACCGCATCCCATTCGTGGGGTCCAGCCTCTCTCTTGGGTCGGACACTCCAAGCCCCGCCCCACGCGGGCGCTCTCCCACGCCAGCCCGACACTGGCCCCGCCCCCGACAAGACCCCGCCCCTGCTAAGGCCCGGCTCCCTCACAGCTCCTAGTGAGCGCTCACCACTGCGTCGATGTCGGCACCGCGCTCCAGTAAGAGCTGCACGGTTTCTTGGCACTCGGTGTTCACTGCCACGTGCAGGGCGGTGAGCCCTGAGGGAGGGGAAGGCTTGGTGAAACCTAGGCCTGGGGCTTTGCGGACGCTGATGGACTCCAGGTCCGCTGGATAGCCCAGCCGTGCCCCGCGGTAGATACTTACCGTCGTAATTGCGGGCCTCCAGGTCCAACGTGCCAGGAGCTGCGCTGTCCAGCAGGGCTCGCAGGCAGGTTGGGCTGCGGTGCTCGCACGCCAGGTGGGCGGCCGTCTGGCCATGGCGGTCCAGCGCCATGGGGCTGGCACCAGCTGTCACCAGGAGCCGGACCACAGACGGTAATGTGGTGATCACAGCCAGGTGGAGCGGTGTCTGGGGAACAGTGACTGTGAGGGACCTGTGTCCAGCCCTGCTCTCTAGTCCTGCCTCCCTCAGGTTTTCTGAACCCTTACTCCTCATCCTGCAGTCTTCCCCAGGAACAGAAACCTGAGACACCTCCTGTCTCAGATTCAAGAGTGGGGGACCCATGTTCCTCCTTCCCCAGGACCCAGAAGACTGGGCCTCCAACCTCCTCTTTCCCTAGTACCGGGATTCTGGTTCCCCAGCCCCCTCCGTCCTCATCTAGGAGGTCTTTAGGCTCCCTCCCTCTCAGGAACAAGGAGTCCAAGGCCCCAGAGCCCTTCTTCCCCAGGAACCAGGAGCCTGGAGCACCTTAGATTCCAGACCCCTACTTAGATTCCAGACCCCTAGCCCTCCTCCCTCAGACCCAGGAGCCCAAGCCCCCAGCCCTCCTCCCTCAGACTCAGGAGCCCAAGCCCCCAGCCCTCCTCCCTCAGACCCAGGAGCCCAAGCCCCCAGCCCTCCTTCCTCAGACTCAGGAGCCCAGGCCCCAGCTCTCTTTCCTCAGACCCAGAAGCCCAGGCCTGCAGCCCTCCTCCATCAGACCCAGGAGTCCAGACACCAGTCCCTCCTCCCTCAGACCCAGGGGTCCAGGCCCCAGCCCCTCCTCCCTCAGACCCAGGAGTCCAGGCCCCCCACCCCTCCTCCTTCAGACCCAGGAGTCCAGGTCCCCAGACCCTCCTCCCTCAGACCTAGGAGTCCAGGCCCCAGCCCTCCTCCCTCAGACCCAGCCTCACCTGCCGTAGGTTGTTGTAGATGTCGAGCTCCCGGCCCCCTTGCTGGAAGAGGTTGACCAGCCGGTGCACAGCTGGCAGGTTACCCTGCACCACAGCAATATGGAGAGGCCTGGGGGTGGGGGAATGAAAGAATCACAGGCATTAGGAGCTGTTCACCTCTCACCCTCATGCTGTTGGCAATGATAACTCCAATGTGTTGAGTGCTTTGGAAATGTCCCCAGTATCCAAACACTTCTCCCCACCCACTCCTTCCATCCTGATTTACCACCCACTCCTTCCATCCTGCTTTAGCCACCACTGGCTCCCTGCTGGTCTAGCACAGTTCCATCCTCATGGTTTTCCTGATTCCACCTATGCTCTACTGTCTGTCCCCCACACAACAGCCAGAGGGACCCTTTTGTTTTATTGTATTTGTTTGAGATGGAGTCTTGCTCTGTCGCCTAGGCTGGAGTGCAGTGGTGCTATCTCACGCTCACTGCAATCTCTGCCTCCCGGGTTCAAGCGATCATCCAACCTCAGCCTCCCGAGTAGCTGGGATTACAGGCGTGCGCCATCACACCCAGCTAATTTTTGTATTTTTAGTAGAGACAGGGTTTCACTATGTTGGCCAGGCTGGTCTCTAACTGCTGGGTTCAAGTGATCCTCCTGTTTCAGCCTCCCGAAGTGCTGGGATTACAGGCATGAGCCACCATGCCCAGTCTGCAACAAAAGTTTTGACTAAAAGGGAGATAAGGACAAACTGGGATGGGGCCATTGTTCTGGAGGCTGTACAGCCCAGAACCCCCTTCCAGACTGAAGGACTTACTCCCTCAGCTTCTGGGAAGATCATCAGCTTTCAGACCATTTGGGAATTACCTTCAGCTGAAGAGAGCTGCTTGCCCAAGGTCACGCCCCATGTGAATCAAGAGCAGTTGCCCTTCAATGGCATCCAGTCACTGGTTAATGCCAGCGTAGAAGGCCTAGCCTCCTGACCCCAATGCTGAAGGCCATTCCAGCTTCAATACTCTCTGTGGGATGGCTGAGGCCGCGCAGAGGCGACACTGCAGCTCAACTTCTCCTTCTGCCCAGATGGGCTTCCTTCATCCCACAGGTGTTGATGGAGAGCATTTCCAAGGAACTTCCTGCTCAGTTTCCAGAGACCCCAACCTGGAACAGCTATTTGGAGACTGATGTGTGTGTGTGTGCACGCGCGTGCGTGTGCACACCTGTGCATGTTTGCATGGGATGGGGGACAGAGTGGAGGACCTAAGGAGGCCTGTGTGTACACAGTGGGCGGCAGGATCTTTATTTAAAGTCTGTTTACTGAGTAATTCCTTTCTCACCACCACTCATCTCTCTTGTGGAATGTGTCTGTAGAATCCAGTTTAAACCAGCCTCCCAGGTGGTTCTGATGGAAATGTAGAAATCCTGGGGCCAGAGTTGCAAATTGGGCCACGACCCCTCCTAGCCTAGCCGTGTGCTAGGGCAAAGCCATGGCGGCCTTTTGGAGCCTCAGTTTTCTGCTAGGTGAAGTACAGCGCCCACATACCAGGGTGCGATCACGCAGGTGAATTGCTGAACCTGACTCCTAATTCATGAAAGCCAAATTTAAACATAAAATGTTGAGGGAGGGTCCGGTGTCCCTGGGAAGGCTCCTCGCTTCTCTGCATCTCCCAGGACGCCTGGCCTAGGTCCCTCTCGGGGCGGCCAGGGTTAAGTGAGGGCAGACGCAGCGAATGATTTCAGAGAAACCGTCCAGGCCTGAGTTCCCATAAACGCGCGGGCCGCAGGGGGTGGGGCGGGGCTGGAGGAAGTGGGGACGGGAGGGGCGACCCAACCCTCGGACTTCCAGTAACAGGTCTGCTGGGCGGGGCTCCGCTTCCTGCTCCCGGGGGAGGGAAGCCTGTCCCGCCGGGGATCTACCCTGGCCACCCCCGGCACCCCAACTTCCATCTTCGAATGGGGCGGGGGAAGGGGGAGCCCAGCCAAAGAAGACCTAGCTCCCTTGAGGTGTGTGTGTTGTGGGGGGGCATATAATCCCGAGTCCTCCAGCCTGGGGGACCCTCTGGAACTCCACCCGTTAGGGTTCAGACTCCAGCTGGCTGCAAGTCCTCCTTATCCCGGCACCCACTCCCAACATCTCTCTGGGAGGCAGAAATAGCCCTAACTCTTCTTTAAGAATAAGGACGTCCCCCGTCCTTCGGAGCTCCAGGATCCCAAACTACCTTGCCTGACCTTGTCCCTTCAGAGACCCAGAAATATAGCGCCTCAATCCCTGCCCCTTTGGGGACACTGACTTTCAGGCCCCTCGGCGTGAGCAGTTTCACCCGCCCAGCGCTTAGAATGTCCTGCCGCCGCTGTCGTGAAATTCTTAAGTTTTGAGCAGGGGACTCGGCAAATTTCTGTATCTGGTCCTGCCCCTAAAGTCCCTCTGAGTGCCAGGTCCCCAAGCTGCCAAGCTGCTCCTCATCCCCTCGGAGATTAAGGAATACAGTTTCCCAACTTCTGCCTTCTGAGACTCAGAACATCCCCCCACCCCGCCCCCCGTCATCCCGCCCCCTCCCCAGGTTTCTAGCTGCCCAGTCCCTAACCTCTTGGGGGTCCAAATGCCCCAAGGCTCGTACCCGCCTGTGAGAAGATGCAAGCCCAGCCTCCCAACCTTTTGGCTTCTGCGGGGACCCAGACTTAGCGTCCCCCGCCCTCCTCGCCCCCACTGCCCGCCCCCGCGGGTGTGAAGTGGAGCCGGTGGCGCAGGCTGGGGCCGGGCCGCTGCCCGTTCCGGTAAAGTCTCAGCCCCAGCGGAAGGGGTTAAGGTTGGAGGAAGCGCCAGGAGGGGGGAGGCTGCGAGTGAGTGACGGGTGCTGACGTGGGGGAGGCAGAGCAGCTGGGTTGCGGTCAAGTTCTGCGGGAAGGGATTTCCCCCAGCAGGCAGCTGAGGCAGAAGTGTTTGCCTTGGGGGAGAGTCGGGGAGGGAAGGTCGGGGGAGGGCCCGGGACTGGAGACTGGTGGGCCGAGCGGCCTCTAGCAAGCACACTGCTTTTCAACGGCATGGAGAGTTCACCCCCGGGGGCAGAGACTAATTAAGTCCACTTCATAGATGACCCCCTAGAGGTACCCAGAAGGGGAGGGAACTAGGTTTTATTAGCTCTTTATAATCTCAGCCACTTTCTCCTGCTAGGGCTCTCAAGATGGCCTGCAACCACCCTGGGAGCTCTGCTCACACTACCCATTTCCATGCATTGAGCACTTACTCTTTGCCCAGCCCTGTTCTGTGCACTGTATTAAAACATGTGTACAAGATCTCACTGAATCCTAATTGTGATAGGTGCTATTATGAGATCCAGTTTCCAAATAGGGAAACTGAGACTCAGTGACATGAAATCACTCAGTGGGCCAGTGGCAGAGCAGCCCCCCTGCTACTTCTCTGCAGAAGTAGGCCTGTTCATCTCTACCTGTGGTTTCCAGGCCCCAGACTAATTCTCACATAAGCGCTTTGTATAAATCATGTCATTTCTTCCTCCCAGAGACCCTCACACGTGATGGTTCCTGTTTTTACAGAGAGGGAAACTGAGGCATAGAGTGAGGAGAAAGTGGCCATGCTGAGATTCAAACCCAGGTCGATAGAATAATAAGAATCATGATGATCAACTGTAGTGAGTGCTTATTATGTGCTAGGCACAGACTAAACCCTCCCGTGCAACACTTCTCAGCAGCCTCACAAACATGTTCTTCAAACTGCAGGTGATAAACCATGGGGGTTGTGAAATCAATTTAGGGGATCTTCAAATTAATGTAGTGGGCTGTGACCACAAAACAATGAAGTCGACTAGAATAGAAAATGGCAAAGTAAAGCTGTAAAGCTGGGCTCGGTGGCTCGCACCTGTAATCTCAGCACTTTGGGAGGCTGAGGTGGGAACATGACTTGAGCCCAGGAGTTTGAGACCAGGCTGGACAACATAGCAAGACCACTATGTCTCTACAAAAAAAAAAAAAAAAAAAAATTACAAAAATTAGCCAGGTGTGGGAGGAGTGCCTGCGGTCCCAGTTACTTAGGAGGCTGAGGCGGGAGGATCACTTGAGCCCAAGAGATCAAGGCTACAGTGAGCTATGATTGCACCACTGCACTCCAGCCTGGGTGACAGATCGAGACCCTGTCTCAGAAAAAATAATAGAAAAACAAAAAAAGAGAAAATGTCAAAGTAGAACCCACATAGTAAGGGTGAGTATTGTTTCATTTTGTGCAATTTTAATTTCAAGTTTGTGTGTGTGTGTGTGCTGGGTTTGAGATAAAGTAATAGTAATATTAACAAACACTCAACATTTATGCCAGGTCCAGTGATAGGAGTTTTACATGTATAATTCATATAGCAAGTTAATCAATGAACTGTCTTTCTTGTTTTTAAGTTGTGATAAAAAATCTGAAGACCACTGTTCCAAAAATAGTGTTCTAGGGGTGGGCTTGGGGCTCATGCCTGTAATCCCAGCACTTTGGGAGGCCAAGGTGAGTGGATCACTGGAGGTCAGGAGCTGGAGACCAGTCTGGCCAACATGGTGAAACCCTGTCTCTATCAAAAAATACGAAACTTAGCTGGGTGTGGCAGTGGGCACCTGTAGTCTCAGCTACTGGGGAGGTTGAGGCACGAGACTTGCTTGAACCTGGGAGGTGGAGGTTGCAGTATGCCGAGATCGTGCCACTGCACTCCAGCCTGGGCGACAGAGTGAGACCCTGTCTCAAAAATCAAAAACAAAAACCAAACAAAAATAGTGTCCTAGGGAGTAAATGCTCTCAGGGTGCCCATTATTCAGAGGAGGAAACTGAGGGTCAGAGAGGGGAAGGGCCTTATTCAAGGTCACACAGCCTGTGGTGGAGACCGAGTTCTGACTCAGGTCCACGGGAGCTGAGTGGCCCTGTGTTATGGACAGCTGGTCTTCTCAACCACCCCTCCCCTTAATAGGGGACTATCACTCACGTGTCTCCGTCCTCATCTGCTCGGGTGGCCATGGCGATGTCAGCAGAAAGGGGGTGTTCCATGGGGCACATCATGGGGTACAGGGGTGTAGGCAGGTTCACCAGAGGAAACGGGGAGCCCATGGTCCGAGTGGGGTACAAAGGCAGTAAGGCTCCTAGGCAATGGAGGACATAGGAGAGACACGGGTGAGGCCACACTCACAGACCCTCAACCTACTCCCCACTTCTAGATCGCTCCCTACTTCTAGATCTTTGCTCCTGCAGTGTCACCTACCTTTTCTCCCAGGTCCCTTTTGCATCCTATACTGGGTCCTCAAGGCCTAAAACAAACCCCCTTCCACATCCCTCCTCTGGGCTCCGGCAGCTTCCTCTCCCTCCAGGGCCGGTCACCCTTATTGTCACTTATCTTCTGACCCCAATCTCCAATCAGACAAAGGGTCCCTTAAGAACAGAGGGCGCACCCATCATCACCTAGCAGGGAACCCGAGGGACTGTCTGCGGAGTGATTTTGTGGCTGATGAAGAGCTGGGTGCAGGGTGTGGGATAAATGTAGAGTGGGTTTGGAGAGAATGGAGGGAGAGAGGAGGTGTCACCAGAAGCCTGTTCAAACTGTTTTTGAGATGGAGTCTTGCTCTGTTGCCCAGACTGGAGTGCAGCGGCACGATCTTGCCTCACTGCAACCTCCGCCTCCCAGGTTCAAACGATTCTCCTGCCTCAGCCTCCCAGGTAGCTGGAATTACAGATGCTCACCACCATGTGTGGGTAATTTTAGATCAAACTGTTAAAAAAGGGGCCATGGCAGGCCGGGGGCAGTGGCTGGTGCCTCTAACACCAATACTTTGGGAGGCCGAGGCGGGTGGATCACCTGAGCTCAGGAGTTCAATACTAGTCTGTGCAACATGGTGAAACCCTGTCTCCACTAAAAATACAAAAATTAGCCAGGTGTGGTGGTGCATGCCTGTAATTCCAGCTACTCGGGAGGCCGAGGCACAAGAATTGCTTGAACTTGGGAGGCGGAGGTTGCAATGAGCTGAGATCACGCCAATGCACTCCAGCCTGGGTGACAGAGCAAAACTCTGTCTCAAAAAAAACAAAACAAAGCAAAACAAAAACAAAAGGCCGGGGACCACAGCAGCAGGCAAATCTATACCAACCCATCACACTGACAGGGAAAACTGAGGCCTGCATTCTTACTCTTGGAATGGGAAAGCTGGGAGGCCGTGGCAGAACACCTGACGCATATAGCTTGAGGCTCTCCAGCTGTCACACTGATGGGGTGGAAGGTGCAGAAACTACCTAAAGTCTTGGGGCTCTGGAGAAGGGCTCTCTGCAGCTTTGGGGGTCAATTGGGGATGGTGACACGGCTACAGCTGTGCTAGGGGACACCCCTTCTTGAGATCAGGGATGGAGATGGGTTGGAGAGAAAAGTGTGTGGTATTTGTCCTCTGCTGATCCTTGTGGGTCCTCTGTTCTTGAACTCCCAAGTTTCCAGGTCCCCGTATCTCCAATACCAGGCCTTGGGACCCTGAGGCTTTCTGTCTGGAGACCCCTGAATCTTTCATCCTGCCTCTAAATTACCCAGAGTCTCAGAATTACCCAATCTTAGGATCCTCAGTCCCCCAATCCCCTCCGGCCCACCTGATCTTGACCTCAAATAGGACCCTGATCGCTTGTGGTCCCACATAACTGAGTACCCAGAACCCCGGGTCTCTGTTCCCCTGGGTCCACAAGACCCCCTGGTATCTGGGTCCCTGGAGCTCTGGTTCATTCCCTTGGATCCTTGTGATCCCAGGTATTGGGGTGCTCAGAACCCCATCTCTGTTTTCATAATGCCTATGTCTCCAGATATCTTGGGTTCCTGAGATTGTGACATCCTGAGATCCTCAGTATCTGTCTCCTTAGAACCCCAGTCTCTGTTACCCTGACTTCCTTTGATTCTAATAGCAGGATACAAGGAACCCCAGTTTCTCCAGCCCAGCTCAGCTTCCTCATAACCCTACACATCTGGTTTAAGAGCTTGTACTTTTTTGTCCCCAGGACACCAGGCTCTGTGTCCTGATTCTGTGACACCCCCATATTTGTACCAGTGGGCATTGTCCCTGGCCCCCCCATGTCACTCAGCCCCTGGGCTCTGCCCCCCAGGGTCCCCAAACCCCCAGATGCCTGTGTCCCGAGGGACAGCTTACTGGCTCCCTGATGATCTCCTATCTGTATCCCTGGAACCTGGGGTTATATCCTCTTGTCCCCCAGGTTTCTGGAGAGACACGGGTTTGTGCCTCCAGCTGTGTCTCCTGGCTCTGGTGACCCTATGCTCTGTATGGCTCCCACCAGGCCCAGACCCTCGGGGGGCCACTCACCCGGGTAGTACAGCGCCTCCGGCCTGGCCAGGCCGTGGGGGGGCCCGGGGACCGCCGGCAGGTCGCAGCCGCCGCGCAGGGGGTCCAGGGGGACTACAAGGCCCGCAGCGCCGCGGGGAGCGGCGGGCTCCGGAGAGGGCGCGCGCAGCGGGCGCTTGCGGAGCGGCAGTGCGGCGCCCGGGAGTCCGGCGGCCTTGGGTCGGGTGCGCAGGTCCACGGGCCCCTCGTCCATGGCCCCCGCGGGGCATCGGGGCATGGGGCCGCCGGGGACGGCGGCCGGAGAGCTGCTGGGCTCGGCTGCACGGGAGGGTGGTTTCGCCGGGCGCCGGGACTTCCCCTGCAGCCGGCTGAACTGAAGGGACTTTTGTCGGCCGGGGCGGTGCCGGCCGCCCGCCCCCCCCCCCGCCCCCCCCCCCCCCCCGGGGCCACCCGTACGCCCCAGGGGTTTCCTGGACCCGCCGCTGCTCCCGCCGCTCTGTGGTGCAGCCTGCTGTGTGCCCCGCCCGCGCCGCGCCCCGCTTGCCCCCTCCCGGCCCGCGGCGCCCGGGGCAGCCAGGCCTTGGCGGGGGAGTGGGAGGAAAGGAGGGGTGGGGAGAGAGGAGGCGGGGTCGGAGGGTGGGGGGGTGTCCCTACCCCTGCTGCCAAGGGCCGCTCTCAGTCTCTCTGCCTCTGTTTTTGTCTTTCTGGTTCTATCTCTCAGCCTCTCTATCGCTGAGTCTGTAACTGTCTCTCTGGTTCTCCTGTCTGAGTAGGTGTTTCTCTCCGCACCCCCGCGTTTGTCTCTGTGTGCTCTGTTCGGTCTCTGTCTCTCTCTTTTGTCTCTCTGTGTCTGTCACCATCTCTCTGTCTCTCAGTTGCTGTCTGCTTCTCTGCCTCTCAGGAGGCCTTGGCATCTCTGGGACGCAGGTTCGAATCTCGGTTCCCACTTCCTCGCTGGGTGACCTTGGTCAAACACTTCCCCTCTCTGAGCCGTTTCCTCCTTAGTGGGAGTGAAGAGACGCACCCGGGGCAAGGACTGGCACTCGGCAGGCGGCCAGGAACGATTCCTCTCCCTCCTCTCTTCCATTTCTGCCACTCCACGTGCCTCTTCGGCTGTGGGTCTAAAGGGGCTGGGGGTGGGGTGAGGGTGGGGAGCGCTCCACTGATTGTGTCTCTGCCCGCGTTGGGGGCCCTGCACCCAGCCAGGGCCCCCAGGGCACCGGGGTGGGTGCTCGGAAAATCCTAGGTGCACAGAGAGAAAGAGACATGGAGACAGGCGCAGAGATCTTGAGAGAAAGAGAGATAGCAAGAGACACAGACGCCAGGCCAGAGTCAGCGCGACCGAGGCCGGTGCTGCAGGAGAGGGGAGCAGTTTGGCTTCCCCCCTACTTCCCCTCCCACCGCGAAGAGGGGTTGATGGGTGGGGAACAAGCCGGGCGGGTTGGGGGCATGACTCAGGCAGGGGATGGGAGGGAAGGAGGGGGGAGGCGGGACTCTTCCCGGTCTCCTCCCCTTCTCTGCCTCTCCCCGCCCCGGGGTGGGGCCCCGAAGGTCCGGGGCTTTCCCGGATTTCCCTGGGGGCGGGGCAGCCGCTGGGGTTGAGTCCGGGTCACTGAGTCACAGGAGGCGGAGAGGGAGGCTTTGGGCACACAGAGGGCGGGGCATGGTAGCTGCACCCCAGACCTGCCCAGGGGGCATGCGGCGTCTCTCTGGGTCTCTCCCCCGGTCTCCTTCTGTCTTCGCAACTTGCCTGACCTCCCTCTGGTTGTCTCCCGCCCTGCCCTCTGTCTCTGTCTCCCCATCTCTGTTGCTGTCTCTGTCCCCTGGGACCTTGAAAGTGGGTGTTGGGGCCCAGGGAAGGGACTTTGGTCGGACTTAGGCCCCACCCGAGTGGATCGTTAACCCAGGATGTGAGAAGTGGCTGTGGGGAGAGGCCTCATCCCTTCCCTCCCTGATCTTTTCTGCCTACCCCGCTTCATGGTGAAACATCCCGAGCACAGACCTGTGTTCAAATTCTGCCTCTACCCCTTGCTCCCGGTGGGACCTTAGACAAGCCATTCCATCCTGAGACTCAGTTTGTTCTTCTGGAAAATGGGACCAATGGCAACCCCTGCCTGCTGGTGTTGCGAGGGCCACAGCAAAGGGAGAGGAGGAATTGGGTTGGATAGGCTGAGTTTTGTGTTCCCTGCCCACCCAACCCCACCCCTGGGGACCTTCAGACACAGGAGAGGGGTGTGGAGCACTACCCCACTGCACAGAAAGGAAAGCTGAAGTTTGGAGGGGTGAGGCTTAGGGTGGGGACCCTCAGAGGTAAGGTCGGAAGGACACCCAAGCCTGTCCCACTCCTGGCATCCCGCGGCAGGTGGTGCAGTGGTTCCAACCTAGCAGGACTGGAGAGGGGAGAAGATGTGATGGGTCCTGTGGGGGCTTCGAAGGGCTGGGAGAGAGGGTGCTGCTGGGAGAGAGGGTGCTGCTGGGAGAGAGGGTGCTGCTGGGAGAGAGGGTGCTGAAAGTTCTCTGAGGTTGGATGAGGGATAATAGGGTCTGAAGGAGGAGGATCTGAAGAAGGAAGACAGGTCTGAGAGAGAAATAGATGGGTTAGTGGGAGGAGGGGGAGAGGATCTGAAGGAGGAGATAAGAGTCTGAGGAAGGAGGCGAGGGTTTGAGAGAGGAGGTGAGGGTCTGAAGGAGGAGGCGGGGGTCTGAGGGAGGAGGTGAGGGTCTGAAGGAGGAGATAAGCATCTGAGGAAGGAGGCGAGCGTTTGAGAGAGGAGGTGAGGGTCTGAAGGAGGAGGTAAGGGTCTCGGGGAGGAGGTGAGGGAAGGGGAGAGTATCTGAGGGAGAGCGCACAGTCTGAGGAGTCTGAGAAGCTCTAAGTGAGGAGAAGCAGCTCTGAGGGAGGAGGAGAGAGTTGGAGGGGAAAGAGGAGTCTGAGGGAAGAAGATTTGGAGAGAGTCTGAGGGTAGAGGCCAGATCTGAGGGAGAAGAAAGAGGTTGGGGGAAAAGATCTGAGGGTGGAAGGCAAGGACTAGGGGAGGAGGAGCTCATGGGGTGGAGGGGTAGAGAGGCGTGCCTCCGGAGCCAGCGGGGACCAAGGGGAGGGAAGGGAAGGGAGGCTGGGAGGCAGCCCCGCCCTGCAGCTGTCTCTAATTTCCCAGAATCTTCTGCTCTCAGGAAAGTCCCAGCTCCCATAGCAGCCTCCCTCCAATGTCGGGAACGGAGGATGCGGAACCAGGATGGCCGCCCCCACTGTTCCCCCTGCTCCTTGCACCCCAGACGGAAAGGACTAGGGTCTCCTTTCTCTGGGCCTTGGCCTCTGGAGGGCCCCCACCCGCAGGGGCAGCCCCTGGATGAGTCTCAGAAACTTCCCAGAGGAGGCCCGGAAGTTCTGCTTGGTGTCTAACCACTTTCCCCTCATGCAGGCCGCCCTTTGTACCTGTTCAGATCTCCTGCCCAGCTGCTGCTTCTTTTCCCCCAACCCATCCTGGGAGAGGAAACGCCAGGAATTTACCTGCTCAAAGTCCTGAGAGGGAAACGAAATTCCATCTGGAAGTCTGTAGGTTTGAGGCAGCTTTCTTGCTCTTAGGGGCCTCAATTTCTCTTTCTAAGAGGAGAGAGTAGGACTGGTCAGAGCCTAAGTTCCCATCTGGCTCAATTATTGGGTCTTGTCCTGCTTTTTTTTTGAGACAAGATCTGGCTCTGTCTCCCAGGCTGAAGTGCAGTGGTGGGATCATAACTCACTGTAGCCTTGAACTCCTGAACTCAAGTGATCCTCCTGCCTCAGCCTCCCAAGTAGCTGGGACTACAGGCATGTGCCACAATGACTGGCTAATTAAAAAAAAAATTGTAGAGTCAGGGGTCTCACTGTGTTGCCCAGGCTGGTCTCGAACTCCTGGGCTCAAGCGATCCTCCCGCCTCGGTCTCCCAAAGTGCTGGGATTACAGGCGTGACCACCACATCTGGCCTCCTTTGTTTTGAATTGAGGCCTGGGTGCAAGTCCTGTCTCCTGATCCTTAGCTTTGTGACTTCCGGGTGGTTACTTAACCTCGTGGAGCCTCAGCTTCCTCATCTGCAGAGTGGATCACATCAAGAAAATATGACTCTGTCCTATGGAGCCTGATGTATAGAAAGCTTTCAATGCAATTTAGCTGCTATTAGTTTTATAATAATAATAATAATATAACATTATATATTATTATTGTCCTCATCAAATATCCTATGTTTTCTTTTTTTTTTTTTTTTTTTGAGACGGAGTCTCGCTCTGTCACCCAGGCTGGAGTGCAGTGGCTGGATCTCAGCTCACTGCAAGCTCCACCTCCCGGGTTTACGCCATTCTCCTGGCTCAGCCTCCGGAGTAGCTGGGACTACAGGGGCCCGCCACCTCGCCCAGCTAGTTTTTTGTATTTTTTAGTAGAGACGGGGTTTCACCGTGTTCGCCAGGATGGTCTCGATCTCCTGACCTCGTGATCCGCCCATCTCGGCCTCCCAAAGTGCTGGGATTACAGGCTTGAGCCACCGCGCCCGGCCCTATGTTTTCAATAGCAGGACCTGCTTCATTGGGGAAAATAGGATTCAACATGCTGGGCTTAGAGACATGGTTTTGAGCCCTGGCTCTTCCATGTGCCAGTTGTGTGACCTTAGGCAGGTGGCTTTCCCTCTGTGTGCCTTCCTTGTGACTTCATTATTTTTTAATTTTAATTTTTTGAGATAGAGTCTCGCTCTGTCACCCAGGCTGGAGTGCAGTGGTGTGATCTTGGCTCACTGCAATCTCCCCCTCCCTGGTTCAAGCAATTCTGCCTCAGCTTCCTGAGTAGCTGGCATTACAGGTGTGAGCCACCGTGCCCAGCCCCTTGTGACTTTAATAATGGGGAATGGGGCTGGGCATGGGGTGTGCTCCTGTAGTCCCAGTACTTTGGGAGGCCAAGGTAGAAGGAAGAATCCCTTGAAACCAGGAGTTCAAGATCAGTCTGGGCAAGAAGGTGACACCCTGTCTCTACAATTTTTTTTTTCTTTTTTTTTTTTTTGAGATGGAGTTTTGCTCTTGTTGACCAGGCTGGAGTGCAATGGTGCAATCTTGGCTCACTGCAACCTCCACCTCTCGGGTTCAAGCGATTCTTCTGCCTTAGCCTCCTGAGTAGCTGGGACTAAAGGCTCATGCCACTACGCCCAGCTAATTTTTGTCTTTTTAGTAGAGATGAGGTTTTACCATATTGGCTGGGCTGGGCTCGAACTCCTGACTTTATGATCCACCCACCTCGGTCTCCCAAAGTGCTGGGATTACAGGCGTGAGCCACCACGCCAGACTTACAAAAAATTTTTAAAAATTAGCTGGGCTCAGGGGGCACCTGTAGTCCTAGCTACTTGGGAGGGTGAGACGGAAGGATCGCTTGAGGTGTAAGGCCGCAGTGAGCTATGATCATGCCACTGAACTCCAGCCTGGTCGACAGAGTGAGACTGTCTCAAAATAATGGTAATAGTAATAATAACAGGATGATAACAGATCCTGTTTCACAGGCTTATTGAGCAGATTAAATAAGAAAAGTGTGTGGAATAAATGAATGAATGTAATGTTTATTTCTGTCTCCACACTGCTGGCCTTAACCCTTACCCTATCCAGCAGACCAGGGCCTCCTTCTCACCCTTTTCTACACACAGAGGACACAAGACAGAAACATTCACTCTGGCCTGAGCTGCAACTAAGAATTGGCCCACTTAATCCTCTCAACACCTTGTAAGAAAATTCAGCTAAAAACCCCATTTTAAGGAGGAAACAGGCACAGAGAAGTGAACTCACTGCCCGGGTCACATGGTGAGGAACTGGGGAGAGCTGAGATTTCAAGCCAGGTCCCTGTGGCCCCAGCACACTTCTGACCTGGGAGAAGTGGTCATGAGTCTCGGAGACTGCAGGTGCACCCTTCTAGTTTGATTCTAGACCCCTTCTCCCTGGGAAGAAATGGTTTGGATGGGGAAACTGAGGCATGGAGAGGGAAAGTCACGTGCCCGAGGACACCCATGGAGATCCATACCCTGGAGCTCTTCTCTGCTGCCTCCTGGTATGGGGAGGGTCCGTGGGTGGAGAGAGGATGGCATTGCAGCAGGAGGGAATAGAGTTAGACTTAAGGGGCCGGGCATGGTGACTCATGCCTGTAATCCCAGCACTCTGAGAGGCTGAGACCGGAGGATCCACCTGAGATCAGGAGTTCAAGACCAGCCTGGCCAACATGGCTAAACCCTGTCTCTACTAAAAATACAAAACTTAGCCGGGTGTGGTGGTGGGCGCGTGTAATCCCAGCTACACGGGAGGCTGAGGCAGGAGAATCACTTGAACCTGGGAGGCGGAGGTTGCAGTGAGCTGAGATCGTGCCACTGCACTCCAGCCTGGGCAACAGAGCAAGACCCTGCCTCAAACAAAAAAGAAAAAAAAAAAACTAGAGATAGACTTAGGGGTCCCTTGAGGAGGAACAACCACTAGAGTCTCTAGGGAGGTTCAGGGAGAGCAAGTGAGTTCTGCAGACAGAGGGATACAGAGACTCTAGGCCCAGATGGGGAGGGACATGCCTAAGGTCAGGCTGCCTCCAGTCTGGGCCCTGGGCTGGAAGTCTACACGGCTCCCTGAGGCTGCTCTGCCCCACCCCCACGGGTGAATGCGGGCCAGCTTCCTGGAGCATGGCCTGCACCTCCTGGTTCCTCCCCACCCTGGAGCCTTGGCAGCTGTGGGAGCTCCTGGCATTGAGCAGAATCAGCCCATCTGGGGCCTAAGCCAAGACTTAATCTTCCCCTTTCTGCCTCTTGCTGGGTCTGCACGCACGACGCTGAGTCAGAGGATTGCGACATCCTCTCTTGGCAGGCCAGGGAGACCAGGCGCTCTCGCCCACCCCTCTGCCACCCCTGCCAGCTGCCTTGATCACAGCGGGGTGATTCGGTGGGGGGAGTGTGGAGATCAGTATCTGCCCTGGGTGGGTGGATGGGGGTCTGGGAAGATGGGGTGTAGGAAGGAAGGTCCCAGTGGTCCCAGCGAAGTGACAGTAGACAATCGGGTACTAGTGGGCTAGTGTCCTCATCCGTGAATGGGGTCCTGTCTAATTGTTTGGGTTCGAATCCCAGTTCTGTCACTTACCAGCTGTGTGATCCTGGGCAAGTGATTTATTTACCCTCTCGGAGCCCCAGTTTCCTCATCTATAAAATGAGGGTAAAAACAGTGCATGCCTTCCGGCAGTGTTGTGAGAGTCAAATGAATTCACACACGTCAGCACAGTCCGGGCACAGAGGAAAGTCTCAGTAAATGGAAGATATTATTTTAAAATGATTGCTATTATTCATATAGGATGGGAGTGGCAGCCACAGAGACAGGCAGCTCACATCCCCCTTCAAGAAAAAACCTGTTGGCTGGGTGTGGCGGCGCATCCCTCTAATCCCAGTTCTTTGGGAGGCCAGGATGGGAGAATCTCCAGGGCCCAGGAGTTCGAGGCCAGCCTGGGCAACAGAGCAAGACCCCATCTCTAAAAAAAAAAAAAATACTTTTTTTTTTTTTTTTGAGACAGAGTCTTGCTCTGTTGCCCAGGCTGGAGTGCAGTGGTGCGATCTCGGCTCACTGCAACCTCCGCCTCCCAGGCTCAAGAGTTTCTCCTGGCTCAGCCTTCCAAGTAGCTGGGACTACAGGCACA